GGAGATCATTTTGAAAAGTGGTCAGAAAACAGAGGAGACCGCTTATATGTTGCACGCAGGCAAAAAATTGAGACCCTTCTACGAGGTTATCATAAAGCCTCTTCAGATAGAGAAATTGCATTCCTCAACCGATTGGAATTCATGTACTTTGATCAACAAATCAATGCTTTCACGCTCGCCGCCTATGCTACTTCGTTTCCAAATGCGGAACAGTTCGACGCCGATGACTCAGAAGAAGAAAGTGTCGATGGTACTTTGCAAGCGGCCTTCCCGGGCGAAGGCAAAAGGCAAGTAGAAGATGGTTGTGGCAGGATCGTCATCAGGGGGTCCTTCAATCAAAACTTCAGGTACCGTGCTCACCGGTGTACCAACACATCCGCTACCTTCACCTCAAGGAATGACTACACCTGTCGACATTAAGGCCGCTTTCGCAGCAGACATGTCTTCATCTGCAGGATTGATAAAGCATTGGCCTTGCAAAATCTGTTAGCTAATGAAAGCTCCCCCGAGTTATTAGCGAATTTGGAACGTCTCCTTCGTTCTCAGACCGCACAGCCTCAACCTTCAACGACTTTGGAGCATGAGATTGGGGAAAAGATCCCTGCGGACATCGCCAAATTGCCAGGTCCTATCGTTTGTCGAGATGACTATACAACGATGGATGTCTAAATTGGGTCCCCTACCTGCATGTTCCTCCCATTTACTTGAGCACCTCCTCATCCACAACCTCCTTCAAATCGCCAAACTTACCCTGCATGCTTCACCCTATCTCAATGGCCCTCCATCTGCTTCCTCTGTCGTCATATCCCATCCTGACCGGCGAATTCCTGAGCCTCTCATCCTCCTGATCCCCCATCCTCACCTCGTCCTCCTGCTATTCCACCCTCTCATAAATTCCGATGGCGACCCTAGTGTTCTTCTCCCCTTGAAACTCCACATTCATGGCATGATCCCCACCTACTACTACTGATAGCGGCCGTGCACAGATCCTGTCCCGCTTGCAAAATGGCACTCCCACAAGAATGGAGTTAAAGCCCTAGATGTGTGGTGGAAGGAGGGATATAAGGAGGGGGAGCGAGGGGAGGGACACACAGACACACACTAAGGGAGGGAAGGGGGGGAAGGATGGAGGGAGGGGGGAGAGAGAGGAGGGTGGGAGGGATTGGGGGAGGAGGGAGGGAGAGAGAGAGAGAGGGTGCGCTTCGTTACGCAGCGCAGACTTCCCTATTTCCCTTTTGGGCCTAGTCTGAATGGAATTCTCCACATCTCCAGGCACAACACTGCAGGCACAGAGGGGAAAAGAGGGAGAGAGAGAGAGAGGCTGCACTTCCTCACACCCATCTGCATACAGCTCGGCTCTGCTCCACCTGCTTATTCCTTTCTGGGAAGCGCTGACCAGCATGGAACACCTCGACGGCGCTCCCCCAAGAAAACAAATGTGAGTCCCAGCCTCTTCTCTTCTTGTCCTGTGTTGGTCACCTCTCTCTGCCCATCTTTCTTCCCTACCCACTCACTTTTTTGAAGTTTTCCCCCTTTCATCCTCCTCCATAGCCTCCATTCCACCTCTCTCGATGCCATAGGAACTTGTGCCCTCAATTTGCCTCCCATCTTTTCCCCACCAATCTGCTTTTCTCCTTGTCCTGTGCCAGTCACCTCTTTCTTCCCGTCTTTCTCCAAACCTTTCTCTCCTTCATTGGGATCCTCTTTGAGCTCCTCCTCCCACAATACTCGACATGGCCCCTACGGATCTGGTATGTCCTTTACTGGTCCTATGTCTGTCCATCGTACTCTCTCCATCGTACTCTCTTTATTGCTTTCTCTCCAACATGTGCATATTATCCCGCTATCTCCTTTCCTGACAACGTTTTTCCCTCCCTCAGCGCTAAGCCCCTGTCCGGATCCCCCTACGCGACCTGGATGGGTACTTCCAGATTCACGGAGGACTGGGGAGCCGCCATCTGCCAACGCTCTTGAAAGATAACAAAAAGAGGGGCAGTAGAGAAAGAGAAGGTTCACTTTAAAGTAAGAAAGGAAAAGAAACGGCATGAGTATTTCAAGATTGACGAAGGACACAGGCATGATCTCTAAACGCTCGACAGATGAAAATTAAAGATGGAGGACGGGAAAAAGGAAGAGCAGGAGGCGGCGAAAGAAGGAAAGTCAGAATATACTTATCTGTTATCTTCAGTCAAAAGGTCTACAGCCAAAAATACATTGACGATAGCTCGTGTATGACCATATAGATTTCCAATATGGCCATATAGAATAAGCATATGCAAAACTTATCCCGGCCAGACACCGCACACT